AGAGGCCTTGGTTGGTCATAAATTGTCCTTCCAATAATATAAAACACACCATTTATTTACAACACGTATGCTCTTCCAAGTAGATCCAACAGCTCGTAAAGAACAAGAGCTCCTATGTCATCCCTACTGAGACCACTGCAATAAAGAGCCATTGGAATGACTCCGTACTCAGTAAGTGCAATCAGATCCAGCAACAGTAGCTTTTATGGGTTTTTTTCTCCCCTCCAGGAAAACCTGAGATATTAGTGCGATATTAAAGAGCTGTGATGGTTTTACCCGTAGTGGGATCTTACTCCTCCTATGCCCCCACTGGGTTTGGGAGTGGAGTGAGATAACACTCACCAAAGAGGGTCAGAATCAGCCCTGTTAGGATGGTTCATTTTCATAAGGGATATGATTGATTAAAAAGAAGGTTAATTGAACATTATGAAGCTGCCACAGTAGTATAAACTCCAAGCTCTGGCTTATAAACATTTGTTGCAGAAGGGTTATTACCTGCTTAAAATTGGAGCAATGAGCCTTTCGATCCCTGTTTATTCCAGGATGGCTGAGCAGTAAAAATATGCATGCTGGTACGTGACCTCAGGTGGACTCCTAGGAAATGTTAGCCCAGTTTAAGTAAGAAATATGTTCTTACACAGGCAGAGGTGTGCCCTGATTGAACTCTAAAGTGAAATACCAGCTAAAAGCAGCATTTGATCTAGATTAGAAACCCACTTTAAGTGTTTGAAGTAGAAAAGCAGTAGGAGCTGATCTGAGTCTCCAAAGTCTTTTGTCAATAGAAAAGCTCTGAACAATTTCCTTTTAATAATATTACCACATTTTTTTTTAATGTGATTTCTGTAGTTCTTGGGCAGTACAGAGGGGTGTGATATTTATCCAATGGATTTGCGGACTAACAGGATCATTAACACATTAATCAACATCTTGTTCACTGGCTCAACCTCAGGCTGTGCTGAGGGTGACTAGATCGGTACAAGAGATTCACAGGAGCATGGGTTTCATCTCACCCTACCAGAGAAGGCATCTAATCTAAGCTGGCTACATGGTGTCTCTCTGTAATCAATGAGGAGAGTGGAAGATGTCTTCCAGAGGAAAATCCACCCCATCCTATGTGTCTAAAACAGGAAAGATTAATTCTGTCTTGGGATATGCCAATCTCTTGCCACGGACTATGAGGGAACCCAGACAGTAGGGTGAGGATTTGTCTCAAACTTACCTGATTTCCTCCTGCATGGAGGAAAATGAGGCTATCCCCCTCAGTCGCTTCTGCATGAAACTGCTGGTTCATTTGCACCGAGTGCCATGGCAGATTCACTGGCCAACTGCTTTGCTCAATAGCTGACTTTATTCCAAACTCATCGCTGTGCCCATAAGGATCACCTATGAACAGCTTCCCCACCCTCCCTTAAAGCTTTAGCCCCATCCACACCAATCCACCTCTATGAAACCAAGTTGAAATTCAGTCTCTTGAGCGGCTGAGCTATCTCTTGCTGCAGTCAAATGAAATCTTTCTCATCAATGGGCTGGACCACCCTCTAACTGGATCACGACCGATGTATCTGTTGCTCGTCGTATCATTGGTTCCCATTATGTACATAGTGGACAGATTAATTTCTCCTTTCTTCAAACTCAATATTCAACTAGTCACTGTCATGGCCCATCACAGCTCTGCTGACCTGTCCTATTTCTGTCTCCTTTTGCACACTGACAAAAACGGTCAACAAGCCATTTTGCCATGAATCTTCCGGTTGCCAGATTTCTCCAGCCCTTGCTTTGAGCCCTTCTCCTGTGCTGTCCCTGCTGCACATCATCCTCCTTCAAATCACCTCTGCCAAGAGGCCAATGAAAGCCACCTGGGCAGCATGGCTGTGCTTGCAGCAGCACGCCGGCCTCGCTGTCTTTTTCTGCCACCTCCATCCCATTGTTGACTGGAAGCTCTTCAAGGCAAGACCACTGCACACCCAGCAGTGACTTACACACCAGGCCCATCCAGCTCCTCACCAGCTGTTCCTAAGCACCACCAGAGTCCAACTGACTGTGTTGACATGGCAATGACAGATCAAGACCAACCACTATTACCAATAAAAAGCAATAACAGCAGGCACAAGGAATTATGAAAAAAATTACTTTTTAATGTACAAAAGTTTTATATACAGGTTCAGCATGTTACCTCTGTTCTTATGATGTAGAAAACAGCTAAAAATGTTCTTAAGATATAAATTTGACAGAACAATTCACCTACAGTACTTTTAGTAATGATGTCTTCTATACATAATATATACAGTGCTGGAATGGTTATTATAATACTTTTTCAGTAAATGAAGGAAGATCACCACTGGAAAGTCTGAGAAATCTCAAGTCATTGGAGATTTGGTTTTGCTTTTGTATTTGATCTTTTGCTAATGAGATATCTGTGAAGAGGGACTCAGTAGCCATCGTTGCCCTACGCAGCTGTTGAAAAAATCAGATTAGCAGTTGAAGGACACACGAAAGCCTGATCCATCTCAGCACAAGGGATGCCCAGTTGTACTCCAAGCGTCCAGGACAACATACAATGTCCTAAAATATGTACTGCCCTCTTTTCATAAATGCAAAGGCAAGGGCAAGGTCAGTAACTGCAGGAGAATATATACAGCGGACTACAAAACAAACCCTTTAAACACAACTTTCACGGGAGACACAAATAAACAGCCAGGCACCTTGCTTTGCTTTCCTGTTGTCATGCACCCTGGACATCAGCAGGAGTCATGGGGGCCTTGAGGGGTGAAGAGTGTCCTGTGCACACCCTCTGCATTTGGGATGAGGACGGGTGAGATCGCAGGAGGCTGAGCAGCACCTCCCTGCACCAGCCGTAACCCGGGCTACCTGGCAGCAGGGCTGTCCCAACCCACCACTGCCCAGCACGGCTGCTGGCGTATCTGATATCTCAAAGTTTGCCTGAAGGTAACACGTGGCATTTTCATGCCACCCCCTGGTCATGCTGGGAACAGTGAGCCTGACATCAGTCTGTGCAAAAGGAAAGCAGGGACACCAGAAAGCACCTTTACAGAGCTGTCCCTGTCCCGTGCAGGGGACGGAGTTGGATGCAATTGAGAACATCACATCGATATGAGGGGGAGAGGGAAGATGGGAAGGAGAGAGTGAAGCTCTGCAGATGCTTGTCCGGTCAAACTGTGAGAACCTGGGGGAGATGTCACACTTGTCCCCTGCCCTTCAACTTACTGGGTACAAAGTATCTGATGCTATGAGAGCTGAATGAGGAGAGTTGTCCTTACCCAATACAGTCAGAAGTTAAGCAAGGCCTCCTGCCCAAGTACATGCACCCCACTACTTCTCCCCTTTTGTCTAATGACAGTAAAAATAAATAATGCAACTAAGATTGACTTCAGTGCCAGGTGGGACCGGCCTGGAAACAGCTGATGGTTATTACAAGCAGTTATATTTTGGTGGAGGATTTGGCTTTGGGAAGCCCTGCTCCTCCTATCTCTTCCCCAAGGACATTTCCAAGAGATTCTCACTGACCGAGCTACTATTTTGACTTAAATACCTGTTTTGAGACTATCCAGATGTTTCCCTACGCTGTAGACTGCAGGTGCAGTGCTGAACTGAACCAGGCTGGGTACAAAGAGTAGCTGTATACTGTAGCACAAAGCACTAGCCAAACGAACACCCCGGGTTGTCCATGGTATATTTTTTGGATACAGCAGCTCTTTTCATGCTGACCAAAGCTGTGGGACATGTTAATGCAGCACTGGGTACATGCCAACAAGCCTCCTTGCAGGGCAGGGTGTATTAGCTCATGCTTGGTCTCGCATCAGGCCAGCCACGTGCCTGTTGTGTGCACGGAGCCCAGGCAGAGCCCTGCATGGAGTGTATTACACAGACGAACCCTGGCCAGATAAACAGCTCCCACAACACTGCCACAGTGCAGACTGGGCTGAAACAATCATAAAACTCTCTCCATCACTATCACTTTTTGTATGTGAGCACCTTAGCATGGAAAGCCCAACAGAAAGCGAAGCCGTTGCAAAGCCACACAGGGATATGGCAATGCGTGCTTCAGAAACCTGACATTAAAGATGCATGCGGGGCCCCTGCAGAAAGTCACTGTGCTCAGAGGGTGCAGTTATGCATGTGTGTCAGTCTGCACGCCGGAGCCTTCCTGCCACGGGGGATTATTTCCCAGTGATTGCTGTTCCCAGGCCTCTGCTCCACTCTGCACATGATACAAACCACATTGTAAACACATCTGATCAAAGTGTGCATTCACCTTTTACGTGTCTCATCAATGTGTCTTTCCAATGTTTTCTCAGAAACACCACTATGTTTTTATAAATGTACATTTTATATATGCTTCTGGCAATACACTATATTTGATTTTTAAAGGAAGAGAGGCCTTGGCTACTTAACATGAAAGCATGGTAAGGCACTTTGCTGAGAAGCTGTTTGGAATCAACCCTCTTTGCAAGGTACAAAGGTATTTACGGTATAAAACAATACTGCTGGCAGAGGGCTTGTTTGGAGATGTAACTAAACCCTACTCTCATCAGAGCAGAATACATAGTATGGCTTTTATTCCAATCAAAACCGCATCCTCCCGTTTCTTTCTGGGGTGGGTTGAAAATGGAATTTTTTGTGAACATAACTAATGGAAAATGATGGGGAGTGCTATTTACAGGGCTGCCGGGGAGGGAGGGTTTCATCTCTAACCACGTTCATGCAGTCTCCTAGCTTGGTGGTGATATCGTTCAGTGCTCTGGGAAACCAAGCCAAAAAATAACACTAGAGGTGCACCCTTGTGGTGCTGAACTGCCTGGATATAGTTTACATAATTCTGTACAGAGACTTTTAAAAATTTTCATTTTGAATCCCTTTAATGTATTTCATACTTATAAAAAAAATCTACTCTATTGAAACAGATTATTTTTGAAAAGCACATTCATAAAACTGCTTCACGCACAGCCCCTTGGATAGCGCTAAGGCCTTGTGCTTTACTGTTATGACATCATGTTTAGAAATTTACTCTCTTCCGCCAGCGTGGTTAGCATGGAGCTCATATCGCCTATTGCCATATTGCTTATTCCCGCGGGTATGGTGGGCAGTGTCAGAGAGTTTCGTGGAGTCGTCAGGCGAGAGGAGTTCTGGGAGAGGTTCTGCAGGATGCTGGGGCTCAGGGTTCCCGACATCAGGCTCGAATGGTCCCCATCGTCCATGATGGCATCAAAATCTATCTGGGGCGGCTCAAGACATTGCGAGTCCACCGTGCTGGACACCTGGTTCGCACCCGGGGAAGGCAGAGTGGCCGGCTTGCTGTTCAGTGCGCACTGCTGCTGTCTGACCCGGCAGTCCGCGTGATTATCAAAGCTGCTGTTCTGTTCATACATGTGGATTTGACCATAATAGTACATCAAGTTGTTTTCCCTCGTGCCGTCCACACACTGCTGGGCCGGTGCTGGCAACATGTCGCTGGTTCTTTTATGTGTGGTCTCTGCCGCCTCCTGGCCCGGGCCGATGGTGTTTGTAGGGTGGGGAGTTCTCATGTAGCCCAGCTGCTGGACGGTGCGGAGGCCTCGGGGTCTGCTGGCTGGGCTCGGCTCAGGCGGAGGACGAGGCTGGACCATGCCGGGTGGATACGCCTGCGCGGCTGAGCCCATCATGCCCTGCTGAGGCTCAAAGCTTGGCTGGTTGGAGGTCATGACAGGCTGATGAAAGGCCTCCTGAGCCATGGGGAAGTTCAGGTGGGTCGGCTGAGTTGAGTAGTTCTGCTGACTTGGTTCATGCATGACCTGGCCCAGCATTGTGCGCTCACTGTTGCTGCCGACCATTAAAGAAGGGTCTGTCGCCATGTCCATTTGCTGAGGGTGAAGGTGAGGTCCGGATTTTGCTGCCATGCTGCTACAAGAAGGAGAGATCTGATTTGGGTTGCCACTGATTGCACTGGGGCTCAGCATCTGATGAGGTTGGTTATACCCTGCGTGCAAACCCAGATCGGGGTTCATAGCGGGGCCTAGGCTCATCGGCTGCTGCCGCAGCTGCATACAGTTTAGCCTTTGCCCATCCATGCCCACATTTCTTTGCATAAAGCTCTGCTGTGTTACGTTCATACTGTTGTCCGGCAGCTGCATCTGCTGCTGGTTGTAGTTCTGGTACTGACCGAAGTTCTGCTTCTGCTGGACCACCGCTAAGTTCCCTTGCGAAAACTGCTGCTTCGACTGATTGGACATGATATCAACCGTACCCGAGCTGACTTCGTTCCATTGGACAGGCATGTTATTTTTATTCATGTCTGAGGAAGCATCAAAGCTCAAGGGACACTCTGCCATCATGGATCCCAAGTGACTCATGCTCGCCTCGGCCACTGCCATCCTGCGCTGACCAGACAAGGCTGGAGGCTGCAGCTTCCCACTTCCCTGGAAGCTCTGCATCTCGTTGCTGTACCCCATGGAAGTGCTCTCGGCTGCTGTCCCATTGCTCTGGGATTTGATGTACTGCACCACGTCATCTGGCAGCATAATGTCATCGTCTCCAACGGGCACCTCTGCCTCCCCGGACATGGCTTCCATGGCGATGTTTTCGCTGATGCTCAGCGGCCGGGGTGAGTAGGTGTGCCTGGGGAGGCTCCCGTCCGAGCGACCATAGCTCTGGAGGCTGAAATTCCTCCTGTCCGTGGGGTGTGGAGGATGGAAGGGGTTCATGCTGTTGGTGCTGTTGAAGCGGTGAACTCGTGGGAGGGCCTGGGGGTCTCCGGCAGGTCTCCTCACTGGGTCGCTTGCCCGCCTCGTGCAGTTGCCCGGCACCTCATGGGGAAATGCTGCAGCTGATGGGTAGCCATAGGTGTTACCATCGCTGCAACGCCTGGGCCCTGGTGGGAGGCGGATGGAGGGCAAGGTGGGGTCTGGTCCATCCATAAGTGAGATCCTGTTCTTCAGGGTCATCCTCTCCATGTTTGGCAGGGGAGTTGGAGGAGGGCCCCCTGTGGCAGCAGCGTACTTGGCTTTCAGCCTGTAGTGCTGAGCTGGCGTGAGGTTCAGCAGACCTGGCATCCCGCTGCACTGGCTTGCCTCACTTGACCGACGGGAGGCATCCGTTGAAATCGGGTCGTAAGAGTCGGCAGAGCTCGTGTTATTGGGACGGTGCCCAAGCTGTGAAGCCTCACTGGAAAGGTGGCTGGAGAAGTATGGAGAGATCCCTGATGATCTGCGGCTGACAGTGTAGGCGGAACTGATGGTGCTTGTCGTACTATCACGGCGCTCGTTGAGTTGGTTCAGCATTGTAACCTCATTGACGGACAGCTCCATTATTCTGGGATTAGGCAGCGTAGCAGAAGAACCGCCACTATTTTCTAGAATAGAGCCTGAGAGAAAGGTTGCAGGGAAGGAAAAGGTTCAGTTAGCTGAGAAATTCCACTTGGTAGCATTCTTGGTGCCAGAATACAGACACACAAAGCCACCCCCAAATATTTTACGTGAATGATAGTGAATTTCATTTGCTGCCAGTAAATTCAAAGCTTCATCTCCAGCTCTCTGTCCATGCACAAAGAGCAAAAAGGCTGGGGAGAGAAAATAAGAAGTCCCTGCTGCAGAGTCTTTGCAACGTGTACCCCACTGATTCTCAGCTGCTAAGAAAGTGCCTCCACATGGGCTTCTCTTAGTAGGAAGAAAGTAGGATTGGTGTGAACAGTGCCACGGGGACAGCATGTAGCTACAACCACAGCTGCTCACTGGGACAGATGCACAGCAGTCAGGGATAGGAGGCCAAGAGCCCAAAAGTTGACACTCAAAGGCTCTTCCCAGAGTAAACCAAGAAGCTCCAATATACTAAGCCCTGAGGTTTAGTACAACGCAGGCCCTATGCCTTGGGACTTCTTGGCAAAGTTAGAGGAGCACTGAAGGGATCATAAAGATGCCTTTTTCATGAATCCCCGGCCAGCGGGAAACTAGCATATGAAGCTGTAGGCAATAGCCAGGAGCTCTTGAAGTGACAAAAGGCCTGTCAGAGCAAGGTCAAGGATGAAGGGCTTGTCTGGATTGCCACTGTGCTCCAGCAATCTCCCTGGAGGCCCATCAGCCCTTGGGGAATTGTTACTGCTGGAACAAACCCAAGCAGTCTTGTGGCTGCCACTGGGACAGTGAGGACAGCTGTGGCTGGGTCCTGGGCAAAGCCAGGAACAAGAAGGACACCAACACCTCTGCCTCCTTTCTAGCTCTCTAGCACTGCGCATCTGGGGTTTTGTTGCACATCACCAGACAGCTGTGTTTACACCCAAGCTCTCCATTTTACCTGACATCTCTATCCAGCAAGGGCTGACTCAGAGGCAGTAAGAAATGATCCTCCTCCAGAACAGACTCTCAGTTATGAAACCAGAGTCAAACTCTGGAGGGTGCCTACAGGACATGGCCCAGGCCCAGGGCTTACCGTTTCCTGAGATGGGAGGCAGCTTGGTGTTTCTGGCTTGTGGAGCTGGGCTCACCCATGAGCAGGAATCCTTAACTGTCTTGAGTTTCTCTTTCTTGAGCTGTTCAAGTCGTTGCATCGTCGTCATGTGTTTCCTTAGCTGCAGGCTGACTGTCGAATTACCAGATGAGACCGTTGAGTCCACAACAGGAGCGTTGTCATCCAACGCTGTCAGATCTCCCAGACTTCCCCCGCTGTGCATGTTCATTTCTACTCCACTGTCATTGTTGTTGGTGCTGCCAAGGGGTGATGGCTCACTGCTGCATGACGACTGGCCACCAGGACTGGACTGACACATCTTGGGGAAGGAAAAGAGGAGGAGTTGGGCAGGTGGAAACATGGATGAAAAGAAACCAGGAGCCCAACATCCCCAGCAGGCTCCACATGTTTGGTCCTATCCCAGGCTCTCCCCTCTCTTGTTACCCTTCCCTGCTGCAGGATCTCAGCTCTACCAGAGGGCAGGGGCACCTTCCCTCGGGGGGGAGGGCAGGGCAGCGCCACACACTCGGAAGAACTATGGTGGCTTCAACTGGAGGATGGAGAGAAACCAAATGCTGTTCCTCCGAAAGATTAAGGACAGATGCTTCTCGAAGAAAAGCAGCATGTTACCTGGTTGTGCAAGGTATACTGCAGCAAGCACTGGCTTATCTAACATAGGATCAAGGCCTAAGTATTTCAGACACAACGTATTTCTGTCTTTAAAGTACCCTAACGTATAATTAGGTTACCTGACAAACTTCCCAGCCAGATAAAAACCTGGTTCACTGTTTGCAAACACCCACTTGCAGATAAAGCAGATAAGCACCATAAATATTTATTTTATTTACATTAGGAATTGCGTTTCACATTGAGTAGTTTATTTGCAGCAGACACTAAATGGTCTGAACTTGCTCTGAGGTAGCTGTTGCTGCTACTAGACAGGATGCCTGGCTTCTCCGCTGAGGCCCATGCTCCAGCAACTGTCAGAAAATGGGAGTGCTGAAAAGGCAATGTACTTTGCCCCAGGCCAAGGTGGGCGTGCAGGGTGATGCACTGTTTTACTTTGCCCTGTAGCAGCCCTCATGGGCAGCCCTGATCGGCTCTGATGGCCTCATTGACCTTCAACTGGGATGACAGAGAGCAATCCCAGGATTTAACGTCAAGTTGTGATGCTGGGAGAAAGATGGCAAAGGGGTGTCCTCCCCCTTTCTGCACTCAAGCAAATATCCCCTGCCCCTCCCCATCGCTCGACATGCCTCCGCCCCCACCCTGCAGCGGTTAGCTGGAGACAGGACGTCTGCAGGAGACCATGCTTTATACAGCTATTTTAATACAAAGGATTTCTTTGCTCACCTTAGTACCGACTGTCCTTAGGAAGGTAGAGTAAGGAAGGGTAGGTGGGAATAAAGAACAGGTTGTTAGGACAAAGACAGCATTAACAGAAAGGACCACGTTAGTAAAAGGAGGAAGAGGGGAGTGCAGAATACCACACAAATTGCCAACATCTCCCCCTCTCCCGTACCCTGTCTTCCCTGCCTTCCCTCTTTAGGGGCACAATAAAAACCCCTAGGAGAGACTTCCCACCTGTCTCCATGGGTTTGGGATGAAACCCAAAAAATGGGTCAAAACAAGGGGCCTTGGAGTGATGGGAACCAGTGAAGCATCTCACCCCTCCCACCACCCTGACCTTAACCAGGAAACAGGAGTTGGACGTGGGCCTGCCAGGTCAGATGCCGCCTGTTAGACGTGCACGAGCGAAGTACGCAGCGCTGGACGGGGAGAGTGGAGAAGAACATCCGACCCATGGCCCTGCCGCCAGTGAGATGGCTTGGCTGCAACCCTGGGAGCACAGAGCCCTAGGAAAACAATCCCACACCTTTGGGAGAAATGGGGTGGGGAGCAATGATTGTGTCTGTGTTTTCATAGAAAAAAACCCAACAAAACACACGGAGGAAGAGTATTGGAGAGAGGTCATTCTGTCCAGTGGTTCTCACACTCAGGTTTTGTAACCCAATACAGAGCCTCATCACAGTAAAACTGTTCCTTTAGTCAATTAGAGACACTTTGGATGTGAAAATACTCAATTCCTTCCTAACCAAAACATGCTGCTCATTAGTAATTTGTCCAAGAACACATCCCTTAACCTTTTTTAGAAAAAATTTGTAGCTCCAGGGCATGTTGTTTCGTAAGAATAACAATCTTTAAGCCTGGATTCAAATCAAGAAAATATATATTTTGGAGCTCAAAATCCTTTCAGCTCTAGTGAGAAGTCTGGGGACTATGTGAACACTCCCCTTTGCAGGTGAAGGTCTTTTCTGTTGTATCCAGCCTATACCCTGCCCCACTCTGAGCTGGTGCAACAGACCAGAACTTTGGGTATGAAGGTGAAGAGAAACATCAAAAGGCAAAAGTGACCTTGCAATGTGTTGCAATGCTCCATCTCCCCCACTAGCAGTAGTGTGCTGAGGAGCCGGTGGGCTCCCTGCATGGGGTGGAAGAGGCTTGAAGGTGTTTGGACCCACCACTGTACACACCTCATTAGCACCATCGACCACACTTTGCTTCAGCTGGTGGCCACTCACAGAGCTGTAAAGCATGATTATGGTTGACTGCAAGCCCGTACTCTGTGGGCCACAGCATTGCTCCCATGTTTCTTCCTGGTTTCATTCCCCTGCCCCATCATCCCACTACAATTTTCTGTGGCAGTTGGGAGTCGTGTGTTGAACTCATGTACTCCTGAGCAATCTGCTCTAGCTGACCTTGCTTGAGCAGGGAGGTTGGACTAGACAATCTCAAGAGGTCCCTGCCAACCCCAGCGATTCTGTGCTTCTGTGTATGGTGGACAGGACTGAGGAATTGAACTTGCTTTAAGATACCCAACAAAAATAAAACAGCTACTTTTATCCCCACTGGCTTAATCAGACAGCCCACAACAGAGTTGTGCCAGCAAAACTGCTGTGCAGCAGCAGCCTGGAAAGAAAAACAGTGAAGGGTACAGGGAGGAGGAGAAAAGGGACTGCTTAAGCCAGGACTTCTGCTTCAAGAAGTGTTCATCAATCTGTGCCCTATGGTCATTGCTCAATTTAAATTGGTGAGGTAGGTAAAGCTCATCTGACCACAACACTCTGAGTTTTACCCACTTTCACAGCACAGGGAGGCCAAGCTCAACACGGCATCACGTGGCCCCCATGACTACAAGGGCGGGAATTTGTGATGCTGAGTAGGAAGGTGCAAAATGTACTGGACTATGCCCTGACCTGCAGTTTCATCTTTGGACTTGAACTCTAGGGTGTTGGCAGGTGAAGGGCAACTGCCCAGAGAGGTAAATGGCATGCAAATGCTTCACGCCCCCATTGTGTTGGAGAAATTAGGGGCCGCATCATTTCTGCCAAGAGCAACTGCTCTTACCACAGAATTCTCCGTTTTTATCGTTTTGACTTGTAAGCAATCCTCCATGCTCCTCGTGGTGCTGTTGGCCTCGGGGCTCTCCTCTGAAACCTTGCTGCTCTGCTTGGCGCTTGCCTCATTGTCGCCATTTTCCTTGAGTGGAGGTGGCCTCGGGTGAACATCGTTGCGCTGCTTCTTTGTGACGTGGGCATCAGGCCCGTGCACGGTCTTGACGTGTTTCCTGAGGGAACTAGGGTCTGTGTACCGCTTCGTGCAGCCAGGGATTTTACAGACGTAGGGTTTCTGTTAATACAAGCAAATCTTGGGTTATATTTAGAACAAGCCCAAATATTCCAGGTACAATGTATGGGCCAAGAAAATACAATGAGCATAGTGCCTGGCAGCAGCAAAATGTGGGGCATCTGCTCCACAGGATTCTGTAAGACTGAGATCTCTAAGATGTGATATATGGGCTGCTGCTGATTCACACAGACCTGGCCAGTCATTTGATGTTGGCTAAACTCCTTGTTTTCAGTTGCTGGATTAAAAGACAGCTAAGAATTCACGAAATACTTTCCTAGTATTACTTTCCCATGTATTTGCTCGGGTGGCCACAGGAATGTTTCCTGATTAGGGATGGGAGGGAGGTGATGTAGAGAACTGGCCATAACACATTCTCTCTGCTAAGGTGGGGTCTACACCAAGAAAATGTCTGAGACCTTCTGGCTGATGGAATTCCAGCAAAACCAAGCCAGACTGGGTTCACCCTACCCAATCTATCATACCACTCCAGCACCTGTCACCTTGAAATCTGTTATTGTGCAAAACAAACCACAGGCATGCAATGTTTTTTTCAGACGATAGCACTCTAGTCCCGAATTCATGAATCATTGATTGCCACAGGAAAACAAGGCTGAAGCCATGCTTCTGAAAACAGAAGTCAGCAAACAGATACTTTTCTTCTTTTAACTGTTTTTTTATTGAGCTTCCAATTCGAAAGTGTATTAGCACTGCAGTTGTTTGAGCTGGTGCTGCTGCACTGGAAGCTCTGAATTCATCACAAGTTCCGCTTTCAGCCTCACAGCTACTTTAAGTATTTTTCTGCCAACGCACTAGGATAGGTTCATGAAAAAAAAACAGATAGATGTTGTTTGAAAGCTACCCAAAATGACCATTCCTATTCTTTTTTTAATTTGTTTTGTAATTTCATCCAGAAGGAGTATATATTCTTTGCAGAAAGCCAGCATCATCACATCAAAAACACTGAAAGTCTGTTTTTTATTCAAAAGCATGCTTCCTGACTGATCTTGGCACATCACTTGAACAAACTAAATTCTCATAACACCCCACTGAGGTAAATATTTAATATATTTTAAAGCTGGGTAAACCAAAGCACAAAAAGTAAAATAGTTTGTTTATAAATCTCATGCAACCTTTTGGATGAGGCATTATAGAAATATTATTGCTGCTGTTAAAACCTATTCTGAAGAACAGAACCCCCACCACACATGCTAAAAAACCCTACATAAAACAGTTCAAGGATTGTTTATAAAGATCCTTTAGGCCCAATAGTTCTGATTTTTCAGATTCCAGTAATTAGGGTAACATGATCACTGTTGCTTGGACAGCAGACACCCCACCTAATGAGGTACAACCATCCTCTTCATCAGGCCTCCTGCAACTGAACTGAGCACAACTGCTGTTTTGTTGGCATGCCTTCATATATCCCCTGGGTTATCCAGATTCTGACATCTAATGCAGTGTAGGCTCTAGTGAAGTCAACAATTTAGATATCTCACATGCCTCCCTCCTACTCCCATACACATACAGCATGATACTCCTTAGGGTGGGAGAACTGGAGAACTCCCTAGGCACTCAGCAGAACTGAATTTCTGCATTTTACCCTTGTTTAGCTTGAATTGGAGAAAATGTCACTCCGAGCCTTTGGCTGGCCGTGAACTCATGCCACTCTTTTGTGTATGCACTGGAGAGTGGTCATGGGATGAAAGCCCTTTTCCCAGAAGTAACTTTGAAGGTATCCCCTGAAGGGATTCAAATAGTCACTGAAAGTTTAAAATGAAATCGTGCGTGTGACATTTCAACAATCAAACAAAAGCCAGTGTGGTAATATATCCCCTGCCTTGAACTTCGGCATGTTTGGACCATACACCTACAACTTGTCACACAATGACAGAGACAAATACAGGGAACCTGGAACTTCCTCCTTAGAGGAGACATGGATGACTAACTCTGAAACTGTGGTGTATCCCAAGTAAACACTGCAAGCAGAGGAAAATATTTAGTAGGTAGCTAGGAGCCACAATAGAGTTACCAATGGGTAATGGGAAATATTCACAGCCACAAACTCCTGCATGCATCCATGTGGTTTTGTGAGACAAGGTCTCAGTGCAGTTTGCTAACCCACTGGTCATGGCCACAGCTGGTTGCAGGGCCCTTACCTGGGCCTGCTGCCCAATGCAATGAGCTTTGCCATGAGGGATGTCATCTGTTGCAAGGGATCATGTTGTATGTTCCTCAAAAAGAGGGTGTCAAATACATGGCCCAGAGAGCCATTATATGCAGCCTACAGATCTCCCACAAGTCTTGGGGCATGCTTGTGTTGCATCAAGGAGGGTTGAACAGCAGTTCAGGAGTGAGCATGATCGCAAAATGTAAGATCATGCGGCGCCATATAGTTCCCATGATAAGGCTCAGCTGGTCTGGGGTAAATCCTCCACTAGTGGCTATGCTGCTTCTGCACCTGAGAAGGCTTTGGCACCCTCCAGGAGAAGCAACAGCAAAGGATAAAATCCCTATCTGTTATCTGAGTCTTTAATTTGTGTTGTCGGATGCAGCCTGTGCCCAGTGTCAGCATATTAGATCAGGGTCCACCATGGACAAAGAGTTGGATGCCTCTGCCCTACAGCCTCACCTTCTTGCACAATGTGAACCCAAAGGAGCAGACCTTCAAGTGTGTCCAAGCTCTGCTCAGATGAAGTGAGGAGTCATCCCAGATCCAGTGCAGCTCCTGATCTGGATCACTTGGGAAACTGAACCCATCAACGAAATGACAGCCAAATCCAGCCAAAAGCCAAAATTCCACATGTAGGAACATGGGACACCAGCTGGCCCAAGAGAAAGGAAACTCTGGCCTGCCTAGGAAGGATCCTGGAAAAGCTCTAGGGATCCGAGCTCAAGTGATCTACGGGCAAAAAGTAGCTCACATACTGCTTCAGTGTGCACAAACTGGACAGAGTGAGTCTGTATCCAGCACTGACAGTTGTACCAACAGTCTTGATCCATTCACATGAGAATCCTTACGGATGGAAGAGAGATGCAAAATTGATTTAAGGACAGGAAAAAATGCTGCAGTAATGGGAATCTTCAGTGGTTTGATTGACTTATTTAGCTTATGAGAAAGAAGATGGAGAGTGACAACACTGTAGTGTTATGAGGTGGAAATAGCAACAATGAAAGGGACAGTGGGTCCAGCACTGGAGGAAGGCAGAGAAAGCATCCAGGGCTGGAAAACAAGCAATTTCTAATACCTGAAATGTAGGATTAAATCACATCTGCCTACCTTTCAGAGGAAGAAGCTTTAACAGAGAGCAAATGATGTTTTAGTCCAACACCAGTTACTGGGAATGCAGGTTGCTGAGCGGACAAGACGTTGCACGTCTTGTTGGTCCCTCTTGGCCTCAAGGTCGGTGTAGCCTCAAACCTACCCCAAGCTACCCAGTGCCAGTGCAGATATGGGTTAATTTTAACCTGTGTCCTGCTGGGGAAGTGGCTCACCGGTGAAGGACAATCCTGACATTTGGGTTCATACCCAAACCAATTCAAATAACACTGGGATTCACGTCATTCATTGGGTCCATCTCAGCATCACACAGCACAGAAGGGCGTCCTAGACTTTACGTCCTTATTCTGACTCCAACAGAATCTCTGAAACCTACAGAGCTTTGGTTATCACTGACTGATATTATGCCAGAGATAGAAATACTCCCAACAAGCCCTTTGTAGACACAGCATCGCTTTAAAAAGCTGTCATCCGTGGCAATTGTGTTCCATTCTCCAATAGTCTATATTTAACTGTTGCAAATTAGGCTACAGACTGAATTCTTCATGGCTGCAAACACTATTAGAACTTTGGAGTGTTGTTTTTTCTTCCCCTGTCAGCTAATTAGTGGTAATATAAATTTCAATCGTCGGCCGTGGTTGATTGCAACAGACCATCACATGCATTACAATAAAGGCAATTTCCTCTGCTCCCCAACTACTAATAGTGGGTCTTAATTAGCCAAGGTTAACAAAGCATTGCATTGTGCTCTATCATTGTGCATCAAACGATGGAGGGAGTATTATTTCCAGAGCATCAGGATTCAGGGTAGCTGTTATACTACTGCAAGTCTGCTCCACAGTAATATTAAATACCACATGCACAACTGTATAATCCTAATCTGTGCTATTAAAAATTATAAATTTGGAAAATGCTTGCTTTAATTTCCAAAGCCGATTAAAAAGTTTGCATACTTTAACATCTGTTTATGATTTCAAACATGGCTTTTATAAATATAAAGCTAATGTGGTCTGGCTCTCCAGCAAGATAAATCCCATTAAAAAATAAGAAAAACCTCTCATTACAGTAGGTTTCTTTTTACATGAGTCCAGCGTGTAAAGTGTATTTTTATTGTCAGCAAAATTAAAAAAAAAAGCCCTCCATTGAGCTGCGGTGAGCCCAGGCTTACCTCATTGGAATGCGTCCTGTTCTGGTGCTTGGCTCTGTCCGAGGCATTGGAAAAGGCTTTATTGCAGCCTTCGTGTTCACAGACATAGGGTTTTTCTCCAGTGTGGGACCTCAGGTGTGTCTTTAAGTTCTCCAGGCGGGAATAGGCTTTGGAGCAACCCTCAAACTAAAATAAAAAAACACAAGAAAAGTGATTAATTAACCAGAAAAATTTGATTTTCCCCCTGCCTAAAACCTTCTCATCTGTTTCTCATTCTTTCTTTTTTTCTTCCCTTTAAAGGGCTTGTGTTTTAGGGAACAACATCCACTTTGTTGAGAGAATTCGCTTCCCTAGGCAGGCTGAGAGTTTCAGCAGTGAGTCATATTTAAGGTGTTGCTCCTTGTTGGGTACCCACCTGACATTTTCAACAAAAGACTCTTTTTTCCAGCAGGGTTGAACACCCCTCCACTCCTCCTAGGGCTCTCTTAGACCCTCCTGGCATCCCTCTGCAGCTAACACACTCAGAAACGGAGGCCCTCTCCTTCCCACCCAGAGAACTGATGGCTTCTTGACAGTTTGACCAGCCTTGCAATTTCATTAGCACCAGTGCTGGAAAGACCAGACCATTCTCTAACACACAAGCAGAAATCTAGCAAGCTTTGAAGTTTCCCAAATTACAGCTTGGGTCTACTCTCAGAGGATGCTGTGGTCAGGCCATCTGACATTACCAGTTTAAAAAAACCCCAAGACTCTCAGTCTTGAAGACAGATGGATTTTTTGATGACAAAACAGGCCAGGAACCTTCCTCCTGGAAGGAAACCAGCTGCCCACACAACGAGAAGGAGCAGCTCGGGAGACATGGTGAGGCTTTGGGTGATGTAAGTCCTGCCACCCTCCACTCTGGCTGGGCTGGAGGCTTCTCCCTGCACCTGCCCTGTCTGCAGCATGGGAGGACTTAACCTCAAACCAAGGAGGCCGTCTTAAATGCTCTTTGGCGAAACAAGTGGGAACTTACAAACACTGGAAGAGGTTTTAAGAAATGCAAAGCTCCCTTCCAAATTCTAGCTAAATGCTGCACTCACTGTTCAGCTGGGAGCATTGAAAAGCCCATGCTGCACTTCCTATGCAAGCACCTTAAAACACACTTTAAATTTCAACAAGCAGCCCCTCCTGTTGTAATGTATGCAAGCCACAAGGTGTTGTATTTTAGTCAGATCACTTAAATGTGTCTACAAGTTCAGTCCAGATGTGACAGGACTTCACATTGCTATGTTTGAGGCTTGGCCAGTGAAGAAACTGGTGTCATAGCATGACAGGTCATGCCACAGCTCAGTGATTTCCCTGTGGGCAGCTGAGTGGTCCTACGAGTCCAGAGATCTGGCCCTTTTGGGCAGAGGCCAAAGGCAGCTGCACGCAATAGAAACGCTACCTGTCTCCTTGTGCTCCATGGGCATAGGATTCACCTGCACTGCTAAGGAGTGAGTCAAACATGCAGCCCGTGAAACCCACAAAGCACGTAGGCACAGGTTGATCCCATATAACATTGTTGTGATGGAGAAGAAGTAGGGTTACTTAAGCTTCCCTTTAAGGTCTAGCATAGGGATGGTGGACATAAGGCAAACTTGCTCTGCTCTCTTGAGATATCCAGATCTCTTCAAGGACAGTAGGAGCACCCTGCAAGAGCTGATTCCTTCCACAGCTTTGTCGGGGTGGGATGGATCCAGTTCCCCTTCCTCAAACAACTTTCGTTACTGCATTTGGCCCATAGAACATGCCGCAACTTTGAGGTAGCACAGTATATCCCTTTCTTCTTTTGCCCTGTGCAAACAGTCCTTTATAACTCAAGTCGCTTACGGTTATTGAAATACATCATTCCACTTGCTGGAAAACAAAGGGAACTCAGCACAAGGCAACTCATGTGTCCATTCTGGTTTTGCTGGATACTGACACAAAAATGCAGTTATTAAGAGCAAAAGTACTGAGGCCACATTTTCAAATAAGAGCTTCTCAGCAAAGCAGCCTGTGCATGTTCAAAGCAGTTGTTCCCACTCTCATGCGTGGATTTGATTATGTCGGTGGGAGTTCTGGCTGTCATCTGTTGAAATAATCCTTGACCAAATCCCAGGCTGCAATTGGGCTCATCTGTAGCTTTATGTACACCACAAACTTCTTGTCTGAAACAAATGGTGCTTTGAAAAATCACTGCGAGACTTGGACAAGGAATGCTCTGCCACAGAAGGGCACTGTTTGCAGAGCTGCCATGTATCCCAGGCAATTGGAAACTGGTGGTACTCCAGTTCAGGGAGAGTTGGTGCAACATATCGCACATGGAGGGACTGTGTTTCTCCAGGAGGCAGAGGATGACTTGAGACTCAAACACACACAGCTTTGCCATTGCTCCAGCACGACACACCGAGGCTTGAAAGAGGCAGGATTGTGCAGCGGTGCTTCTTCCTGCTCCATTACAGCACTGAACAGGACGCAGTCCCTGCTGCTTTTTGTCTTCTGAGTCCCTCTACCTGCAAGGGCAGGGCTAGACTTTCCCTCAGTGCTCACTTTGTAGCACACCGACGATCAATATTCCTTGATACTTTTAAGGAAGATTGGTAAAGCACTAGAACTGGGCAAAGTGCTTTAGAAGATTAAAACAAAGGACATGGCCCTGTGCCCCAGGGAGCTTATACTCTAAATTAAATGAACACAGGGCTGGAAGATTGATAAAGGAGTCATGCAGCAAGCAAATCATACATATCCTAATATTTGTAAGCAGGAGCTGGGGCAGAGCCAGGGAGCAAGCAGGGCTGGAAGTGACTAATGGAGCAGAAGAGGAGCAAGATATGGGAGAAGGGCTCAGACATCTGCCGAGCAGAAAGAGAGACTCATCCCCGAGACTCTGGGGAGAGGAATGGCGTAATGCTGACAGCGGAGGAGGTATGAAAAACTGGCAGGAGGAGAAGGCAAGGATGGACCTTCGGGAGGAAAAAGGGCTGAAGCATATGTGGAAAGAGATTGTGAATACCTTTCCTCTCCTACCAGTTGGCCACAGCCACTAAACTCCACAGCTCGCTTCTCTCTTGTGTCCCCCGTCAGGCATCCTTGGCTGTCCCACGTCAGCCAGCGGTTCCGTGGGAGACTCCATGTGTGAGGGCAGATATGGGCTTTAACATCTCGAGGTTGAGGAGGAGGTGAGCCCAGCTCTCCCATGTGCTAGATAAGCCTGTACCCACAAGGCTGAGATACAAAATAGCACCCCATGCTCTTGTTCAGGCAGTGTTTAACACTAGGCACAGTGCTACTTGCATGCAGAAGGTCTGGGGACTGAGCTCCTCTCGGGGTTTAAGCACCCAGGGGTTGAACTCACCTCCTGATTAAGAGAGCAGAGGCAGGAGGTGTTGGCCTAGGTCCCCAGGCTGGAAGGAGGCTTGTGTGCACACTTGGGTATGTAGGTGAGGCAAACTTGCAGCCCCAGCAGCAGTACTGGGTGATGCTGAGTTAGACATGACCAGGGTTAGGTGGTTCCCCACAGTGTGGGCTTCCTGGATTTCCTTCTTGGATGTAAGCAACTAAATTGGCTGGTTTTCCACCATAAATGACTTGTCCTGAGTCACTCTGGATCTCTGTGGCAGAGCTGAACCCATTTTCCCCAAGAAAATGCAGTTTCGCCCACTAACATCTTGACCACTTGTCCTGTCCCCGAGGTGTAACCTGCAAGTAGCTATAACCTGGACAGAGACTGCTGGACTGGCCCTGAGCTGGGTGCCAGCAGTACCCTAGGAGACCCCTGCTTGAAGCCATGCCTGTGTCTGCACATACATTTGCGTGACCACCAAAGTCCAGTGTCCCACTTGCCAAGCTGAGATGCACCACGTGTCCCGGCCAGCTCACCGTGCACTTGTGTGGCTTCTCTCCGGTGTGCCTTCGCATGTGCACCACCAACATGTACTGAGCCTTGAAGGGCTTCTGCTCCCGCGTGCAGTCCTGCCAGCGGCAGACAAACTCCTTCTTCTCCCCGTGGATGTGATCGTTGTTGATGTGCTGGTAGGAGAGAAGGGAGAAGCAGGTCACTCCTGGAAGAGCTGATGCCAGCAAAGCATGCACGGTGCTCTGAAAGCCAGCCATTCCCTCCCCAGTGCTTGTGGTCAGGCATTGCACCTGCGTCCCAGGTGCACAGATAACACCAGGGACACGGGAGCCAGCTCTGCAGTCCGGTGTGTCCTGCAGGAGAAGGCGCACAGCACCCAGCACACTGGGCGCTGGGTCCAAAGCAGCTACAAACGGGAGGTTTGCAAAAGCAATGAAGACCCATGGTGCCAGGGAGAGAGAAGCCCTCTCAGTGTCTCCCGGGCTGCCTGATGCCACTGTTGGGAAGGATGACGGGGTCATTTTTGTCTCTGCCAAACCCTCCTGTGCTGCATTTATGCAGCTGGGACCCTTTCCAGGGGCACTGCTGGAGGATGGGGGAGAGGAGGAGACAAGCCTCGGTTGGACTCGATGATCTTAAGGGTCTTTTCCAACCTAAATGATTCTACGATTCTAAGCCTGCTTGCACGCCAGCCCATACGCAGGCCCTAAGACATCCACCTGCCGTTCAGCGCTGGCGGCTGGCAGGAAATGACAGCATCTGTGAGCTATGCGCCACGGAAAGCTCAGCGGCCTCAATTACTGCCAATTACTTGGGTCCGTAAAATCCTGCGCTGGGGTGTTGAGAAGCCAGACCCAGAATGGTGCCTTCATCCACCCTGGGAGGAAGACAAGGGTTGCTTTTTCCCAGCCCGGGGCAGATGAAGCCCTGTCGAAAATAAACAGAGCCGGAGACCAGCCCGTCAGCAGTGCTGTTCCCGCAGGAGCCTTGTCTCTCTGAAACGGGTCTCGCTGCCAAAAATGATGCCTGTCCTCGCTCCTGTGTTTTCAGCAGACATTCACTGACAGGAAATCCTAAAATAAACCACTTTGGGTTTGGGTTTTGTTTTTTTGCACTGAGATTTTTTTCCAGCCCCCGCCTTCATCCCCCCCGGCCAAGGCCAGGCACACATGTTGCGGCTTGGGATGAGAATTTCTCAGGGTGGCAGGGCAGCACGAGGACACAAAAACATGTTAAAACAGTCATCGGCCTTCATGGTCCCAGCTGAATCCAGCCCTGGCATTCTGTGTGCCGTGGCCTAATACTGGGGACAGGGACCTGCTGCTTGGGGCACCAGGTCTACCCAGGGGCACGAGGAGGCATGTGGAGCTCAGCTGGTCCCTCGGGCACCACGGGTAAACACCGAGAGCCAAAGCTGTGTGCCGGGAAGGTCGGGGGAGGCTGGGTTTGGGAGAGGTTTCAGATGGGTTTGGAGCTCAGCTGCCTACGGTTCTGTTTTTATAACATGGCATCAGTGTGAGATTTTAGCCTCAGATGGTGGAAATCTGGTGAACTCCCCAGGAGACCCATGGACATGCTAAACCACATCCAGACCAGACTGGGAAGATACGTCTCCTGGCTCTGTTTGTGTGGGAGTCTGACTTGCAACCAAGACTACGCACGGCAGTCCTAGGAGTGGGGGACTGGTGCACTGGCTCATCCATTCGGTCCTGCTTGGGCCAGAGGAAGACACATTTATGAGAGGGGGACTGTAGTTCCCCTTCAGGCTTATTAACTCACTGTCTGGGAAACATCTGCTTCCCATCACATGGTGGAGGAGAAGTTACACAACTCACCACACTTCAGCTACGGCTCCATAGCGCCCATCAAACCCCCACGTGGCCGGAGGCTTTGTTTGGGCTCCTCTCAAATTGTGAGTGTGACCTTCGAGGCTGGGAGCAGCAGTGGTGCTAGCAAAAATATGTCCTCACTCCTGCTGCTCCCTGTTGCCACACACTTCTCCCACAAGCACATTACCCACTGTGTGTGGAGAATGGACCCTGCATGCCCAGGTACTTTGCTCTGCACACAAACTAGAGTTTTTCCATGCACAGTGGGATGCCACCTTCTCAGAAGTTGGCCCATGACATCTGTATTTCATTTGCATGTGTATTTTGGGCATCCCAAATCCACAACCCCATGTTTCTAGCAATCATAGTACAGAAGCCTCCGTTTTTATAACCGTTCAAATTTAGGAAAATCTTGGACATTCTGTCAAATATTTTTCTTTGCGTTTTCTCTGGAAATAAATTGTGCTGAGCTGCCTGGATCTGCCCTGCACTTTGCTCTGGGCAGAGTTAAAGAGCTTTTCTTACGCCTGAGAGGGAAACGTACAAATACTGCCAGACAAATGTGAGCCCAGCCCATCTGACAGGGCTGCTGCGGTTTAACCCCAGAAAAGCAACACCCTGTGGCATGCAATGTGCAACCCATTAGGCACCTTATCACTCATTTGGCCCTGAAAACCATTTCCAAATCTGTCTGTACTCAAGGACTTGTTGCATTGAACCAGTGACTTCTGGCAGAGGCGGGCAGGTGCTAGCCTTAGATGGAAGAAGAGCACATGCCTAAAATTATCATTTAGATTGTGGCCCCTCTGGGCTAAGATAATGGTTGTGTGCAAAGTTTGGGGAAGCAGAGACTGATGCCTACTTAGTTGCATCTAAACATGACTAAAATGAAGATATATAAAAAAGGATGAGAGCAGACATGAGCCCTCAGAAAGAGGGCTACACGTGAATCGCACACAGGTGGCCCCTGGCAGGCTTGGAGCCAGGCTGAGGCAAACAGCAAAAGGCTGAAGGGAAAGGGGAAGATAGCGGCTCCTGTCACAAAATTTGCTCAATCCAACATTTTGCTGCAAGCAGCAGGGTTGCTGGGGCTGGTGAATTCCCAGCTCTGGGCTGGTTTCAAACATATGGGGCTCACACCACGAAAGACCCAAAATGAGGACTGGGAGGGTGCTAAGCTGGGGGCAGGATGGGGCTAAGACACAGATCATGTCTGATTTCACAGGGACTCGCTCCAAGTTTGAGGGATTTGTTGACCTTAGAAGCCAAAGGAAACCAAACAGTAGATTCCCAGGTGAAGCAAAGCACACAAAAGGTTCTTGGAATTAATTAGAACTGAAAATCTGATTAATGACTTGGTTTGGGGATCCTTCAGAGAGCAGTTTTGACACTGGTTTGGGGACATCACTGTGATTACGGAAGCCCTATTTCCCAATTTTTAAAAAATCAACCCACTTTCTCTATTTCAGGCCCTGATGGAGACACTGGAGCATGTCTCCAAACTCTGGAAGTGCTCTGTTTTTGTGGAAGGGATGAGCTGAGCAGGTCAACAGCCCCTAAGTGATACGGCCCCACAGCTCATGCCACAGCAACATAAAAGGCTTTCATGGCCTGGACAAGGACTGAGGACAGTATGGATGATCCCTGACCCATAGCTGGTGTAGGTGTGTGGGGAGGCTCAGTGAATACGGCCAGGGAAGAGGGAAGGGCTCACTCCCCTTCCCCATTTTCTGATAGGTCATCTACACGGAGCCTTCTGTCATTGGGTTGTGCACGAGGGAGACTGAAACTGCAGCCTCAGCAGCTGAGAAGAGAGCAACATCAAATAATCTATGAGAGGCTTCCTGCAACTAAACTCCTCAGGGACCAGTGACCTGCTTTGGCAGTGTTTACACAGCGTATCTCTGATTTGCACCTTTAGTAGCTCCCAGAGTGAGCTCTGGATGTACAGCAGCTAGTGATAAAAAAGGAGGACAAATGCACAGAAACCCAAATTTATCGCCGGGGTTTCCTCCCAACCATTACTCACATGGACGAGCTGCTCTTGAGTGTCATATTCCTTTGTGCACCCTTCCCAGTGACAGTTCGTCTCATAAATAACCTCAGGCTCCTGTTTACATTCATCCTTATCTAGATCTTCTTTCAGGTCTGTCAGATGCTCCTGCAACACACAACAGTGCATTGTATAAGGTGAACTTCTTTCACCTGAATTCCTCTGTCACTCATAGATTACAGGGCAGGTATCAACTGATCACAAAACCGTGCTCATCGTGGCAACATAACATCCTTGATTACTGTGAAATAATGAGTTACAGAGTTTTGGTAGAAATGGATCAGAGTTAATGACAAGACACAGAACACGCCGAAGCCATGGTTGCAGCGGTGGCTGGCTCCAGCCGGGTCATGGGCAGTCCCAGGAAAGGCTGGAGAAAGGAAAAGGCTGGCTTTTGACCTTTCATCCTTTGCTGGAGCAAAACTTCCGATCTGGGGGGACTGGGGAAATATGAGCATGAAGAAACCACAGAGCAGTCAGAGCCTAGCGGTTACCACACTCACCTGACATGGGTTGGGGAGGGGGTTTCCTGTTTTCTGCATCTTTCAATAGATGAGAATATTATGCCTAACCCTTACCCAAAGATTTAGACCTGCAGGGTGCTCCACAGGGACAAAGTAGTAAGCCCCAAAGCACTCCTCTGAGATCGGCAAATTTGGGAAGCTTGAGCAAGACCCCATGATGAGTGGGTTGCAGAGCAGAGCTCCAGGGGCTCTGGACTCATAAATGAGTTAGTTTAATGCTGGGCATGCTGTGAGCTCTCTCCTTAACTTCTCTGTCTAGCCAGCTCCTTAGTGCTAAATGAAGCACAGAAGGGTTTTTTTATGGCTGCTATGAGGATTAAAGCATCGACACCTACACAATAGTGTAACATACAACATAATTAGTACAATCCAGAGGTAAGGACAACTGTCGCCTCTGTGTGCGTCAGACACTTGTACTATAGACAAGGCAATCAACAGCCAATATTGACTTGGGAATTTAGCAATACAAAACCCTGCAGGTTTTGACCCCCTTGATTTCCTTTCCTCTCAATTACTACTACTGCCCAGCACAGAGCATCCCACCTCCAGGGCAGCTTTAGATAGGAGCATCTGGGGTGACTGACCACATCAGATGCTGTTCCTCATGATCTGGTGCTCCAGTTGGCCCCATAAATGTGTAGACACAGCCAGACCTGTCTCAAACTGTCTCTGACCTGCCCAAATGGACCTATCTGTCTGCCATCTCCTTCCTCACCAACACCTTCCCAATGCCTACTGAGAGGCTGCAATGATTAATGACTTAATGGCATTATATGGCTTGGAAAGTGAGATGTATGGTACGAAAGTTCAACAATTTTCATTAACTAGCTCATGACATACATGCCAGCTGTGACTTTTCAATTCAAAAGTTTATATATGGAGAGGAAGAGATTTGTTTTAATTAGCTCTTAATTTAAAAAAAAATACTGTAAGGTGGCTCTTGGGACAGGAAACTAGTAATTTACAGAAAGACTTCTGGAGATTCAAACTATATCAGAGCCCAGAGCAATAGTCTGAGAAAGTTCAAACAGCAGCTTCTTTTCCCTGCAATTCCTATTTGATTGAGCTGTGAAAACTATTTTTATTGAAACACTTCTCTCCATGCAAAGTGTGGTCTCTGGAAAAGTGAAATTTTCTACTAAAAATCTTATTTTGCCAAAATTTTTATACTTTCTTTTGGAAAAATGGAACTTAAACCATTTTAATCTGTTGAAGAGGATTGACTAGTTTCATTTCTGGCTAATTCAACATTAATCTGAATCTGTACTGGAGCTATTGTGGTATCATAAAAGCACAGTAACTCAGGTCCTTCATGCCTGGCGCTCTACTGTGTCCCACAAATCTTGTCCGGATTGCATTTTTTTATAGCGCAAGCCATCATGGGAGATACTGTCTGGCCAAGGATTTTAAACACCCAAACCACAACTCACATGAGACATTTCCAGTACAGCATTTCCAAAACAAAACACACACATGCATGCTTTTTTTGGGATGGCTGAGCTTCATACTATGCAAAAAAATGCATCAGTCAATAATTAACTGACTGTAACTCAACTTTTCAGCAGTCTCCTGCAGAACAGGAATCCCCAAATTTAACAAGTTGCTGTTGCTTAGACCAACTGAAGAGGAGACGCCCACTACGTTCAGCGTTTTAACCAGCTCTCCTTGCCAAGAATGGGCTGTCTTTTACAAGGTACTTTCCAGTAATCTCCCAGTCAATACTGAAACACTGCAAGACGTGAAGCCTACATTTCCCTTGGGGTGTTACTTCCCAGATCTCCTCATTAGGAACTATTAGACAACCAGCATGCATTTTCCTTCTCTTAATTTCACCTTGCTATTCTAATCAAGCCTCCTTGCACCACTTTAAGTGATTCTCCCCCTTCTTTCCGTGCTTATTTCACATAAGGTTCAGTGGATGAAACTCTGGGGCAGGGCTGCAGGGTTGAGCCAGGCTAATGCTACCCAAGCACTCCCCGCTGTTGGGTGCACACCTCCTCAAATTGGAGCAGAGAATGGAGGATGACAGCCATCAGGCAAGCAGCTGTCTGTCCCACAGCTCCTCTGCTACAGATGCTTAAGAAAGCAGATGATGGCTTTCAGATCCTTTTTCATTTGCTGCAAGAAATAAACACATGGTCCTATTAGCCCGGGTGGTGGCCAGATCGGTTTTTCAGGGCATGTGCTTTTGCAGCAGCGTGTAGATGCGCTCCTAAACTCAAAGCTCTAGAGAGATGCCTCTTTGCCCTAATCGTGCTGACTACAGCATGTTTATCTTTCCCTGATATGCTATCTTCATCAATTTTACCAGCCCCCTGATGACTGCACACGTTGCTGTCCCCATGCATCATGCTGAGACCTGCTTCTGAACCAGGGCAGAAGGAGAAATTTGTCATCAACTCTTCCATTCGCTTGACAATAACACAGCCTAATATTTCATGAAAATGAAGTGCCCAGAGCACTCCTGATAGTTTACAGTTGTGATAAAGGACGGTCAGATGGATACTGTCAGCCATTAAACAGTTTGCAATCACAGAGCTCCGGAAAGAAAGCAAAGGCCTTTGGGCCCTTGTTGGTGTCAAACGTTGTGTCACCAGTGTAAAGGATGTTTCTAGGAGCAAATCCTTGTTGAATCAAGAAGTCGTCCTTTTTTTGCAAGCTTTCTACCTACATGCAAGATTCCCTCGTCATCTATGTTTGCTCTGAGACACTAATGCTGCTTGCTTTGCAGCACAGAAAACTCAGATATCATTTTTAAATTTATCACTCTTGAAATATTCCCTCCCTTCTTTTTTTCTATCCAAGCACAGCAACAGCAAGCTGAGTCCCAAGCACCCATCGAATGCTTCACTCAGTCACTGCAGCTCTGCCCTGTACCTTGCTGGGCTTCATGCTCCAAGAGACACCCACCTGCCTGGCAGACTTTGATGCCTTGCTCCCAGCTGCAGCAAAAGGTTCCCAAAGACAACGAGACCCAGCAGCTCGCTGCCTCGGCCCCACAACACATCTTGCACCAAAAAGGTTACCTGTGTGGTTGGGGATGCTGGGGGCAAGCCCTCGACTTCAGTCTTGACTTTGCTGCGCTTGTTAATTACTGGATTGACTGTGCTGCTCACGGCCGACTCGCTGCTCTGCTTGCTCTAGGAAAGAAAACCAGGCAAGATATGGCACCAGGGTTTGGGACAAGAGACAGACTGCAGCCCACCTCTTCATTAAAGGTTAACTAAAAAAAGTCAGTCAAGGCTGAACTTCAGGAGTGGCTGGGGACAACGGGGTATGGGCCTGCTGGCCATAATTGCCGTGTGGGCTTGTGCAAGGCAGAGAGATGGAAGAGAGGGAAGAATCAAGGACAGTGTCAGCTTCTGCAGGCTCACCAGTAAGCTTGGCCTCACCGCTGCTGCCCCGTTTCAGAGTAATCCAGTCCCTGTCAAAGCCATCAAAACCTTATGCAACCCCCACCCAAGCCACGAATTTATTTCTCAGTGTGATGAAATGATTTGTTGAGAAAATGAATTCCTGGGGGAGCGGGGGGCTCTGGTTACATGTGAGGGCTCCGGCACGCTGGGTGCATGAAAGGCTATGTGTATATTTTGCTAAGCTCTTAAAAATGAGAACAACTTCAGGAGAAAAAACATCCCATTGTATGTGCATAAAACTGGAACATCAATGTTTTAAATACACTCTTGCTAATTGCTCAAGATTGGTCCTGCAAGTTATTAAACAGAGGCATAACTCCTGCCAGCCACGTTATTTTGGTAGCCAGTTTGTGAGAAGAAAACAAAACCAATCAATCAAATAACCTTCAATAACAAACAGAGTTTGCAGCGCAGCAGCCTGAGAAACCCTAAAACAATAAACCAGTCTGAAAAGTTCAGTGTGATACAACTAAAACAACAATTTGAAATGGGTGTGAAATGAGGTGAAATAAGTCTTTGGGGAGAAAAGCAACTGCAATTTAAACTTCCAAGGAATGAAAATGGGAAGGAAAAATGATTAAAAATGTGCTAGACACATTCACTAAACCTGTGCATATGGAGGGCTTGTGCACACATGCATGCGCCTGTGTGAACTCACAGGTATTCGCAAGGACGCATTTGAGGTGTGGGATTTCACACACATCATGACATTCCTAGTTTTCACAATCTGGCCCCTGGTTTTGCAAACCTTAACAGTAAAAATCAACAGCAGGGATACCCCGAGAGATAAAGCTAGTGAAAAAGAAGGAACAATAAGTAAAATGGCTAGATGTCCTAGGTAGGATGCACTTATTTGTTAAAGGGAAAGGAATAAGGTGTTTTAACACTATTGGCATGGAGGGATTGGTGAAGGAACTGATGAAGCTTGGTTCACAGTGCTCAGGTGCTTATCTGGCAAAACACTACAGCATCTGCTGAATTCCCTCGATTTCAATAGCACTTAACATGTGTTCAAGGAGATTTGCTGCCTGAGATGACCCTGCATATCATGTTCAATGCTCTGATGGATCAAGGCCTTTGGTTCCTGCGTGGGTACGTACGTGTGTGTGCAAGGAAGGGAGGTGGGCACAAAATTTGGCTGTGACTAGTCCAGAAACGCTTTGCCAGGAGGAAGAAAAAGCAACATAAAGGGAGAACGTGAGTAAAAAGAGGGTGGGTAAAACTCCCACAGCCACCATGAAGGGTAGCACTCATCCTATGGAGAACGTGCCTCCATTTCCCCATGTGCCATGCATGGAGAGAGCCAGGATGGTCATCCCTACCTGGCTGGAGTCAGAGATGCAGTTGCTGTTGCTGCTGATCTGTGCCGGTGGTGGGTTGACAGAGATGACTGCCATGTGCTGCCGTTGGGGGAAGGTCGGGGACGGCTGGATCAGGGGAGGAGTGTGTCCGAAGGCTGAGCTCAGGCCTCTCTGCTGGGTCAGGATCTGCTGGTACGTCACGGGGTTAATGGGGTGAGGGAAGCTGAATGCTGGGCTGCAGCAATAGGAGGAGAAAAAATGATGAGGAGTTATTTTAAACAATATTTATCACATTGGCTAGCGACTGATTCAAGTTTGGCTTCCTGGAGGCTCCAGGAGACAGGCTGCAATGCCCCAACTAGATGCCTTCAATGCCACAATAAACCTGACAGCCTGCTTTACTGCAAAGACAGGATTTGTCTCGTGTGTGCCTCAGCAAACTTGTGAATCATTTCGACCCACGTATCAGACTGACTGTAATTTCTTTGCTTCCTATGTTTAAAAAAAGTCAAAGCCCTTGGCAGGGAGTGGGGAAGAGGATGGGACTTGGCCACATCTGGCTTTCAGCCCCCGAGGCTCCTGGGTTTTCCCAGGCAGACCTATTCTGCAGACTTGCAACCTTGGGATTATGCTTCCCTGGATATAAAAAAACAGCATCACCTGGCTCACCTGGCACAGATCACAGCAAGGATGAATAACTATCGATTTAACATAGTCCAAAACCGTGCAATTTACTCTGCGTTCAGGTGAGGGGCGTGCTGGCTCAGGGAACTGCTGAAGTATGTCACCCTTCATATGTAGGTCACTGGTTCAGCTCCAATCTAGGTCAGTGGTGACCAAAACACCATCAGCTCCTGGCTGCTTGGGTGCTAACCGGGGGCAACAGGTCCAAGCCAGGATGCAGCAGTTGACAGCATTAAAAATGAAGCTCTGCTTTTGGGAATAAGGGCTTCAGTCCCAGGGGTGAGGCCCCTCGGCAGAGATGGAGAAGCACGGGAGATGCTCTGCTCCCTGTACTCTAGGCAGGTGATGCACAAACCGTAGACTCTCAGACCAAAAATCGATTATTTGACACCTTTAAAAGGTGGCTGTCCTGAACCTTTACCCTCACGGTATTTTCTCTCACATCACTAAAACTGCCTATGGTGTCACTGCTCAGAGAACGGGGCCATAATTAACAACACTCTTCATGTCCAATTTTGCTTTTAGAGAAAATATTTATTGCTGGTGACCATACAATTAGTATTTCTGTTCCAAACCAGTTAATGACAATTTGACCAAAAGAATAAAGGGCAAAAATCACTACAGTGTAAAAGAGCTCTGGGAGTTAAATACATGCTCCAGAATGACAGACTGCTGCACAGCTTTGTTATGTTACAGCAAAGTCCAAAAATGACTTTCTGAAGTGCTACTAGGATCTGGGTCTGGGCGGCTGAGAAAGAATTTCATTCCTGCCACTAAGACACTGTTAAAATAATAATAAAAAAGTCTTTTCACCCCAAATTGCTGACAGTTATCCTGTTTACCCATTTTACAATTCCTGACATTCAAGATACACCTTTAGAACACCGAGAATAGTTTCCAATTCAGTATTATTACTTGATTATTCCCTTGGAGGCTAACAACTGACCATTGGGTAAGATTGAATGTTGAAAATACCAAATGCTACCCTCAAAAGCTTAAAATCTGAGTATAAGATGAGATGCTACAGGTATACCCAGTTAAAGACAACAGATGACAAGACTAGAAAAATATGATTACCAGACAAGGAGTTGCTGTTTGTTTAAGTTAGCATTATGTTTGATTCTACAGTCAATTTCTAAATGATGCTGCCGGATAAAGTAACTGATAAAATTAATGTTACAGTTACTAATGGCAATGTCTCTGTTTTCCCCTACAAATTTTAGGAGTGCATGATCTTTATAAACCCTTGCTTTGCAACATCAGTGTTAATTAGAACTAACATTTTTAACAGTTAAGTAATAAAAAGAATAATAACATTGTGAAACTTGGGTGAAGCAATCATGGCAGGAATTGACAACAGAGAGCTGCCTAGTGTAAGTGCTTTTTAATTAAGGTTTGAGCAAAACTTTACTCAAGGGCTTAGATTTGTTTTAAATATGTTTTTAGAATTAGGCTCTTAAATCTGCCCAGGCAACATTTTTTTTTAAGGATGTGGACCAATAATTTGGAGAATACTTTGGGGCAATCTCTTAAATCAGAGGGTTTCTTAATCAGTCCAACCGCGCACAATGAGCATTTTTTAGACAAATTTATTCTCTGTTTCTGCCTGCAGGGAGGCACGATCATACTGTAAATACTGGAAATCTGGTAACCAATAATCCCAATCCAGCACCCCACCCCCCCATATGCCACGAAGTACCATCCCACAGGCAAAACCAGATGAGGGCTTTGATTTAATACACTACACAGCCCCAACGCACAAAAGCAGAGGTTGCGAGGAAGTGAAGGTCCTTTTGGGGGGACGGTTACACAGATGAACAGAGCTGGTCCCAAAGCTTTACCTGATTGTCCCAGCAGATAAATGGCCGTAGGAGCCACTTGCTGCTGAACTGCTTCTGGAGTTGTTGATATACGCCACGAGAGAGTTTGGGGAGGTCCTGATCATTGTCTGGAGATCAATGCTGGCATCAGACAGCGGGGAGATAGACAGGGCTCGTTTTCGGCTTAATCTCGGAGTCACCCGTGGGCTCGAAAACCGGGACACTGTAGGAAAGACAGACTTTGTCAGACAAAACCAGTGGGCTGCTCCCTTCCTGCGGTGGGGCGGGAGGTGCTGAGACCTGCTGTAGTCGTGACTGCTGGGGGATGTTCAGGAGCTGGGAGCAGCGCAGGGACCAGCTACACTTTGACGGGAGGTTTCCTCTCTGCTGGGTGCTGAGTGACATGGGTCAGGCGGCACTGCGAACGCCCGCTTGCTTTGCCCTCCTCGGGGGATAAACAAGCCTGTCCATCACCCCCTTTCATCAGCACTAAATTAACTTAAAATTCAAAGGGAAAAGGCCCCGCAAGGTTTCCGTGAGCGCAGCTGTCCCCGTTGACTCGGTGGCAGGAGCAGTGGGACAGAAGAGCCGCACGTCAGAGCCGGCACGACCCTTGGAAACAGCGTGTGCGCTTGTGTGCAGAGGGAGCGGAAACCAAACGAGCGCGAGCACAATGCTGACCATCCAATTAACGAAGGAGGCGAGGCTCCAGGAGCCCCGAAAGTAAATTAGAGTTTTAAGAAAACCAATTTGGCAGCTCAGGCACAAAGTTCAAGCTCTCCCCCTCCGAGGGGACCTGCCAGTGGCTGGACCCTATTAGCAATTGTCAATCATTCAGGCACGAAGTCATTTCCAGCCCTGCCAGTCCCGTCTGTGGATCTGCAATACATGGCGAGTTACTACTGTACGAATTTGGCCTCCCCCAGCGTTACGGCACTGCTAACTGGAACAACTGACTTCATCCAGAGGAAACTCTGCCCAGGCCTGACCCACCTGGCATGGCATGGATGGGAGCTGGGGATGGGCGATATCACAATGTTCCCTGATACCAGGGTACCAGATCCAAAGCCTGTCCCAGCCCTAGCCCTGCCTGGAATGGCTCATCCCTCCAAAGCGATGAGAGCAGCGTTTAGGTCGCCTATTTAAAAAAAAAAAGATTTCCAAGGGTAAAATATGCACTTGGCCATGGGTTCCAGCTGGTAATCCCCATCATCCACCCAGGGGTGCAGGAGGGCTCAGCTTTTCCAGCTCCTTCCCTTGATGAGCGCAGCACTGTATTACTACCTGGCTTTTCCAGTGGTGGTCTCCCCAGAAAGCTTGCTGTGGGTATATCCTATTAAACTCTGAATAAAACAGTAACTTGCCCAGAGAGACCGTATGAGCTATTTTTCTCTAGCTGGTTGGAGGGACTGATTTTGGTTGCATACCACCAAATACAAGCCCGGCACTTTGCAAGAGCATAAACTTTCCGTCCTGACGACAGTGTTGGTGTGTGAGAGGGTGAATGGGATGCACAAGGAGGTTAAATATATCCTGTCAGTGTGACCAAATAGTTCCTTGATTTGCGTTGGCTTGCAGAAGTTTGTGACAACATTTCCCTGAGACCAGCGGCTGGGTTGCAGTCTTCGTATCCACGTCACTCACCTGTGTACTTAAGTGGCTCTGTCATTACCACGTCTGGGTGCTGTGTAATCGATGGGGTTTAGTACCACTGTCCCCTTAATAACCATAATGTCCCTCGTTGCACAAGATAAATGACTTGCCCAAGGTCCCACTGGAAGTCCAAGGCTAAGTTGGTCCTTGAACAAAGCACTCTTGTGACTTTTGTCCTATACTGAAAAAGCTTAAAGAGTTGCTAGGTGCAATACTGACGATATTGGGAATTTCTCCTAAAACTTAGACTGTTGCACAACTGCTGAACACGTTCTTCTTACAGTAGTTTGTATAACCACATTTTGCAGCCCCATGGGGCAGGGAGAAGCTTGGAAACATGACTCAAGGATCAGGTAGCAAACAGAAAGAACACACAGGTCTGTAAAAATCACCTCCTGAGCGTTAAAGCTGTCCCATGATTTGGAGGGGCTAGACTCAAACTTTCCTAACGCCTGTGGCTGGCAGTTTCCAGCCCTGTTCTGCCGTGGTGAGCGGCACTTCCCTCGGGAGCCGGAAAAGGAGCAGCCAGTTTGTAGGGGCACTACAATGAGCAAACCAAAATGAGCAAACAAACTCCCCTCAGCAAAGGCTGGCCCTGCCTAAAGGCTGGAGTGGAGCATTTCCAAACTTCACACCCGGTTCATGAAATCTGGGCCCCGCCAGAGACCTGGACCGAGCAACATGAAGGTTGTGTGTGTCTAGATCATAATGGTCAAAACTGTGCTCTGTCCACAACATATTAATGTATTGATTTAAATTAATTAAACTTTTTTTTTCCTTTTTTTTTTCTTTTTTCTTTTTTTTCTTCTGACTATAAAGCATCTTGAGTCAATACATGGGCCATGACCTGGGAAGACTTGGGTGCTGTTCCCAGTCCTCCATAGACATATCTCCTTAAGCAAGTTGCTTCTTATTTCTGTGTCCCTATTTCCCAGTGTCATCTATTTAGATGAGCTCCTTTAGACAGGGTTTGTGTTTTATTCTGCATGTATTGCACCTAGTGCGATGGGGCTCCATCTCAGCTGAGTTGTCAGTGTTTCTGTCCTACAAATAATATGCATCTTTCCAGCTATAGATATTGTTTTCTGCATTTGCATTCCCACAGTCTCCTCCTTCTCTAACAGAAGGAAGCAGGCCAGATTTGACAGTCATATTTATCTCTGTTACTCCCACACCTCAAGGGAGATCTGTTTATTAATGTGCCACTTCCCTTGATAAATTACTAAATAGAAAGAAAAGCCTTGTACTCATTTCTCGCTGTTCCTTCCCATGATTTATGTCCCCAGTGCTGGTTCAGCCATTGGTCGCCATTAATTTGCAGACGGAAGAAGTCCTGATGTCCAACAGAAACCTGTGTTTGCGCGGCGCATCCAACGTGGCACCCCTCCCCGCTGCACACAGGTACGTCATTTTTTCCCCGTGTAAAACTCTGCTGGAAGCTGTCAGATTTGCAAGCTGGCCTGGGACTTCTCCAGCCCAAACCCAGTAATATGCATTGCGTTACTGTCCGATCTAATGTAGATCTTGTGAGTACCGTGGGCTATCTGAAATGTTTGATAGTAGATCCAATAGGTCGGGCTGATGCTTCACACAAAAGCCTCTTAGGTCTTGTGGGCTTCCAGGGAAAGCTGTGACCTAAAATCGTGCTATGGATGAACAACTCCTCTCTTCTCAATGACAGCCTGCCCAAGGTGCCCGGGAAGGGAAGCGTCTGGGAAACGGAAAAGGAGTTTAACCACACAAAGAAGCGCTCACTAGTGCATTTAGGAAGAGGGAATCTTTTCAAAATTATTATTCAAAAGCAGATTAGCAGCACTGGGATCATTCTTAATAATAAAATTGGCCTGACCTAATCCCCTGATCTGAGGACACTGAGCACGAATGTTGAATGATACCAGGCAGCAGCAAAGATAAGCATTAGTATAGCAGCACATATAGGCAAGGTGTTCAATACGGGCTGACTGACAGCCACTTGAATAAGCAAAATCCTCTGTTGCCTGAGGTCCAGTGATGTTTCAAAGGAAAAACCACATACAACTTCTTCAGCAGTGACTGTGCCCAAAGAAGTAAATGAAGGCGGGATCCATTTTTCAGAGACAGAGACGGAGAGCCTTGGGAGGATTTATCACTAGCACTCCCCCTCTAATCTCCCCTTCAAAAATGCTGACTTATCAAAATGAACAGGGTTAGTTTTAAGACTTTTTTGGTGTTTGGAAAATACGTTAGGGCAAGAGTTTCCAAACTGTCAGAGTACCCCCTTCAACACTCTCAAAAGAAAAAAAACTGGTATTTTTATGTGGTTGTTCTAAGAGATGTTTTGTTGAGAAACATAAAGTCATCATAGGTTAAAATGAAATTGAAAAGGTCATAAATTGAAATAAAAATAGGAAATTATTTTAAAATTAATTCCACTCATCTGCCAGAGTTTCAATTTTAAAAATTAATTTCTCTGTGCCTCTCTACCTCAGAGGGAGACCTTTTTTACCTTTAGTTTCTTTCCCTTGAATACTTCTGAGAGATGGGAAAACTCTTTCTCACCCAGATCCAGAAAGAAGTGATGGGCCAAAGCCCACAAGCAAAACAAGAAACAAGACAACTCCATGAGGTACTCCGTATTGTTGCCTCCTCTGGTGTTCGATAACATTTCCAGCCAAGTACATTTACAGCATGCCCAGGATGGGTGTTCTTTGGTGATGGCTCTTCCCGTATCAATTTGCTCTGCTACTTCTGCCTCTCATCTTGAATAAACACCTATTAAAGCCAGCAGATGCTTTCCATTGACTGCCATGGACTTTGGAGCATGGAATAAATATGAGTTTAAAAGCTGATGTAGAGACACCCCTGTTTGAGCTATCTCATCTTTACTTTCAAACTAATTCTTTTGCACTTGGAAAACATGCTATGCTTACGTGCTCATTTTTTGGACATGCTAACAGCTTGTTTTTTATTTATTCTGTGTATATTAAAAGAATCAGCTCTGAACGGAAGAAACAATTTTTTTTGCTTTGCAAAAGCTAAAGATACCTTCTTAGAGTTCAAAACTTTTTTAGATTTCAAGCAACAACAAAAATATCCTTTGGCCTGAAGTAAGATACGGGAAATTTTAAGCCAAAAGACTGTCCCAGTCTTCCTACGCTCTCAGAGTTAGGAGGAGATTAAAACAGAGATGTGAAGTGGTGAACAAAAGGGTGCAGTAAAGGTTGAGCCCAAAGCTCTGGCATTGGCGATAGTGAATGGCAGTCCATGAAGGTCAATAAAAAATTTACCATAGGCCTTTGCCCCCTGCTGCCTCTTCTTATAGAAAGTCAATTTCAGATACATTTTATAGCGTTTTAACTGGAGCACACTGGCCCTTCCGTACCATTTCATACACAGACCCAGATACACTGGCTGTCACAGGCTCAGCTCTACACACTAGAGAATAAAAATAACCCACATATTTTAAAAAACATTTTAAAACTGCCTGGAATAACTTTTCAGTAGAAAAAAAGCATTATCTTTGCAGGGTAAATGTAAATGCAACAGCTCACAACTGGAAGCCATTTCTCTCCTGGAGGGGTTTAAATATCC